TTATGAAGGAATAAAGGTTTCTGATTTCCATTAATATTTTTAAAGTATAAACTTATTTCATTTAAATAAAAATAAAATGTCCAATAATGTTTGATTTAAGCTGAAAGTAATCTAGGGAGATAATTTTTTGTTCAAGCATCTAGCACGTTTAATGACAGCCATGATTTGATCTTAGGCAAATGGAATATCTTGAATTAAGTGATACTACTATTATTGTTGCGTGCTTATATATAATTTTCATCTTATTAATTTATTTGTACCCTCCTTGTTTCAATTTATTTATCTTAATATCTTTTTTAGTCTGTTTTAAGAAGAATGTCTCTTTTCTCTTTTAATAATTGTTATATTGTAACATTTTATATGACTTGTTTAAGATACAAGATAAAAAAAAATTATTTCGATACATTCTATATATTTTTAGTTTAAGATCACAAAATTTAAAAATAGCTTTTACTTTTTAAAATTTTATATCAATTAAATCCAGATAAATAAAGTAAAATGGAAGGATATTACGGAATTAGAGTCAAGAAAAGTAGTATCTGATGGAATTGGCCTTGGCATTTTCATTCTTCTTTTGCTTTTTCAATGTAATAAATTCAAAAAAATTCCATCAAAGTAACATTATCCCTTTACGTACCGACTTTCACTTGATTCATTGAAGTTAAATTTATCATATTTTGATTGCAAAATTAATTGACACTATAAAGTTTTGGTATCTTATGTTTCTCCTACAAGTAGGCAGAAGTAATTAATTTATAAGGTTTTGAATCATGATTTTTTTTTTCGTTTATTAAATTTGGATAGATTATTAATGATATACTAATCTCGTATTTCCATATGAATAAAATGACACTACAAAAGTCTTATATATTTTATTTACAATTTTTTCATGAAAAAAGATCATATAATGAAATAGTGTTGTAATGGGAATATTGCAAAAGAAGTTGATGAATTACAAATGGATACAAAGAACCTCAAAGATGGCACCCTACCTTGAGCACATGGCTTGTGGCAGCTAGACAATATTTGGTTAGGTTCATTAATTAGAAAGGTATTTTCAATCTCACAAGCTGATGATGACACAAATATCCTAGTAGATATATCGTATAGGTTAGAATATACGTAGATTTTATTTCTATCCTTTTCTTTGAGGCGTAAAGAGATAAAAAAAAAAAAAAAAAAACTAAAATCAACCTAGCAAAATAAATAAATAAATAAATAAATAAAAAAATAAAATAAGTAATAATGAAAATGAAGAGAGTAAAATATTATGCATATACTAATTAATGATACTTGACTACCTATTACCATTGTATATATGCTACAAATAATAATGATACTAAAACACAAAACTGAGTACTATATATATGATGATAGATGTGGGAATTGGGATTGCAGTGTCAGTCAAAATTCACATTCTACTTAGGTAACATAATTTTTATTTCAACAAATTTTTCTCTTCCCATTATTCACAGATTTATACTCAATTTTAAAAAATAAAACAACTGTTTATAATGGACGTGGCAATCAGAGAACAAAATAAGGGACGTGACATTCAAGATCTGATACTGAGGCAAAACCCATGTGCAGCCTTCAGATTGAATATTTTTAGGATTATTCGCACCGTATCACCATTTTTCATGACGCTATTTAAATTTTGTCCCTATTAATTTAGGGGATTAAAATATTACCTTAAAAAGTTATTATATAAATGTTTCTTCTGTGATTGGTTGACTATTACACGGTGGGAGGTTTGTCTAGTGCGCACAACGTACTCATCATAGAGTCCTCTCTCAAAGAACAAAAGCCTGTGACAGAGGCCGCAGTGATTGCGGATTATCCAGGGCTTAACAAAAATACTTTTTATTTTCCCGCTAATAAATTTATCATAAATTTTAATGAAAGAAATATAATCAATAAGAATTTATATAATAATTTTTAATTTATTTGTGATTAATGCGTAGTCATTGAGTTTCCACATCGATAGATGATGAATGATTATTTGATCGCTTTGTATGATTTTGTGCGATCATCACATCATATATTATCTTTTCAAATAAATTAGGTCAAATCACTCATTCTTCTATAATATATATCAGAATCATGCTAATTCCAAATTTTGATAAGAGAACAACCTTCCCCGGCCCCCAGCGCCCCCACTTCCAAATGCCAATGTTGTTATAACATGATTAACGTCCAATTAGAGATTTCAATTATCTTTTTTAATTATTTGTCTCCCTGTCTCTCCCTTCGAATTGACACTTTGTTTTGGTCGGCAATAATCGAAAAATGTTTAATCTCCAAGACATGTGCAATCGATAATTATACAAAGGAGTAAGGTGGCGCATGGTGATCGAGAATCATGATATTTCAGATTTGAATAAAGCTAGAAAAAATATGGACAAATTACTAAACTACACTCCTTTACTTACCTTAATATCCATTTATCCCTACTTATTTCAAAAATTTCAAAAATCTCTTATTTACCTATGTATCCCGCATATATCCCGCATGTATCCCGTGCACAACGCTATGTATCCCGCTATGTGGAATGTATCAAACGCTATGTATCCCGTGCACAACGCTATGTATCCCACATGTATCCCGTGCACAACACTATGTATCCCTCTATGTGGAATGTATCAAACCTAATGTATCCCGTGCACAACGCTATGTATCCCGCAAACATCATTTTTAAGGGATTTTTGATAAATAGAAAACTAGAAGGGATAGGATGTTATTTAGTACTTATAATATGTGGTTCCTATAATTTATACAAAAAATATTAAGTAAACTTTTTTCATTTATTCAAAAACTTTGCAGCTAGAGTTAGTCTATACTTGTGTCGGTAAAAAATAGGTCGGAGCAGAGCTAGAGTATGACTTACAAGTTTGACTACCAAACTTTTAAAAAGTTCAGTAAATATGTATAATTTATTAATTTAGAACCAATATTTAAGAAAAATAGAATGTTAAACATATAGGATCCAAATCTGCCTTTAATAGCAAGCATCTCGTAAAATTAATTAAAATGTACGCTAGCTAGCTCAAAACACCGCGGTTATTAAGGTGGGTATATATGTGTAGTATGTAAGCAATTTTCCATCTTTAGTAAGTATGATAGGACTTAGAACTTAAAAGTGTGTCATGTAGGGCATTTTGCAAGAAATTCAGGGATGAAACGTTGTTTTGTTTTGTCTATTCAAATTTCAAACAAAAGAATCACCTTAAATTAGGACAATATTGTTGAAGTCAAGGCGCAGTATATCAATTAATAAGTTAACATATTCACTTGCTAATACTGCTGGAGTACATAATTTGAAACGTAAAATTTATATGAAAGTATAGGTAATTTGGAACGTGAAATCTTTATAAAAGTATCCGTTATATTTGAATTTTATCTTTCCATGTTCAAAACATGCTTAAAAGTCAAAATCACAAAATTCAAGAGTATTTTTTATATGTTATACACACATTTAGCTTAATCATTTGATTTAATAGTCTTCTATGAATAATACTTAAGCTCCATTTGGACATGTGATGTGAAATTATGGTATTAAATCAAATGATATGGATTTGAAGTTTTGATTGGACATGCAATTTGAATTTCTTAAGTTGTATAATATTTTTTTCATAAACATGAAAACCCCAAAAATTGTAAAGACTATCAAAATTTCTGCAATTCTTACATAATCTTACTAAATGAACAAATCATAGTTCATAAACAAGATAACAATTATCCTAAGGCTTTACATCGATAAATCATATATCTCCATATTTCTCTTATAAGTAAAAATTTGTGACTACAAGCTTATAAAACACTACTAGTCAACAATAATAATAACTAGTTATTCTTCAATGTAATTCTTTCTACAAACAATCTCTTTACACAACGTATATCCCAAATTATGATATTCACATATTCATACGCAAGCTTAAATCGCGTGTCTCATCAAACTAAGACATAAAATGTAATATGAAACTAATTGAGTACATTTATGATGTTAGTTGCCATGCCCTAATATTCATTATTGGGCTTTACAAAATCGCGGGAAGGATGTCCTGGAAGCGGCCCAAATAATAGATCAAGTTTGATGTGTACAAAAGCCCAATATAGTTCAGGCCCTTCCAGTCATGCAATATTTGAAATCTAGACAATAAAATGTTGCATAAACCACACAAATCACATTAGTTTAGTGCCTAAATATGTGCCTTTCCGTGAATTTTCAAAACTATCATTTGTGTCAGATTTCAGTCCCCAGATACATATATTTGCCGCATTCAAACACATGTATCTCATATACATGATGTCAAAATTATGTGTAATTTATCCTAATGCATTGTATTCAAGTGGATTACATGTATTTGAAATACACTGACTCTCTCACTCACCTCCATCCTCTCCCGCTCACTCCTCTCCCTATGTATTTGTATTTCAGAGTGTATCTGGTAGCAAAAGTACATATATCTAGGTGTATCTAACTTGAATTTTGGTGCTCAGTTATTAATTAGTGAGACAATATGTAATTATTTCAAATTAGAGGAAAATATTAGTAAATGTGATAGGAATGTTTGAGTAATTAAATAGTTTCTCCTAAAATATTTTCAGTTTGTGCCACATAGGATGTAGGATAAAGTTCTAGATCTATAATCCATAGCTCTACTTACATGGGCCCATTACAACCGTTGTTTAGGGAAGTTGAACAAATTAGGCAAAACATTAGTATTATTGCACAAATTATTTTTACAGTTTCTTAAATAAAAAAGCGCGTACTAACAAATTATTATAGAAATAAAATAAACAAAACCGTATTTCCAATTCCGAGTCATATAAGGAAACCAAAAGAAAAACTAAAAGTGGAAACAAATTCCAATTTCTATTCACTTAAGAAATCATTTTTTTTATCTCCTTATAAATTCATTAGTAACGCCTCATTAGTTCTCATCATTCAACTAAACAAACCAATCCTTTTTTTTTTTCCTCTCTGTCTAATCACAATTATGGCATCCAATTTTGAGAAATCTCACTGCTTGATTGACAACTTAAAGGCAAGAATTAACAAATTGGCATTCAAGACACAAGACACAACAAAATTGTTTCAAAGGGGTGATCAAGTTGAAGTTGCAAGTCAAGAATGGGGATACATTGGTGCATATTATACCGCGACTATAGTTTCTCCAATTGGAAATTCTCACTATAGAGTTCGATACAAGAATTTAGTAAACGACGATAAGTCTGATTTACTAGTGGAAATTGTCAAGGCTTCTGAGATCCGTCCTGTACCACCTAAACACGAAACGTTATTAGTGCCTGAAGATATTCATATGTACGATATAGTTGATGTGTTCGATAATGATGGATGGTGGATCGGATTTATTTCTGGAAGACATGAAGAAAATTACAAGGTTTATTTCCCTACTACTGGGGAGAATGTTGCATATTCTCCTCATCTTTTGAGGTTTCATCAAGAATGGAATAAGGGCAATTGGATTTCTTCAAACTAAAGTCAAGATTTAATGTGATTTAGCTTGTAATTATTTTGGTTTCAAGAAATTATTATAGTTAATTAGGGAGTATTAATCTAGTCAAGTATTTTATTAAGTTCTTAATGTGTAGGTTTTACTTTTTATGTTGTGGAATACATGGAATTATCAATCTGTTTATGATATATTGAAAATTTTCAATTATTAGCAGAGTTATTATCGTATTAATTATCCAGATCTTTTCTATTCAAGGTTCTTAAAAACAAACATCAAAATATATCTTTCAAATTCTTTTATCCTATATCATTAGATCCTACTTTAAAATGGTCTCATTACAGTTTTGTCTGCTAATTTTACTGTGATTTAGTTGAAGCAAACTTGTAGAACTTCAGCAGAGTGAAACATAGTACATCCTATTTAAGGTCTTGGGTTCGAGCCCTGGAATAAAAAAAATCTTGTTTCAGTCTGCGCAGATTTGGCAAAGAATATCCATATATGCTAATAATTCAAAATCATCGAAGATCATTGGACTATCAAACACTTTACATTCTCAACACGACGTTTGCTTACAATTGTAAAATACTTCTATAAAGTACATCTTATACTATAGTAGAGTACTAACTACACCTACAATTTGTAGTATTATACACTCTACATGTATGGACACATACAAATGGTACCAACTCAAGATTCAATACACTCTAGAGCCATGTAATTTGTTCATTCAGATTCTGTGTCTGCAGTTGGATGAATAACCTGCAAATAGGCATCATTAACATCCGTCAACAATTAAGACTTAACAATTTTTTTAAAATATTGACCGCGCATTGCACAGGTTCTAGTACTAGTACTAGTAATTGTGAAATGAATTGTCAAGAGGTACCTGTGGGCGCTTATCCTCACTAAAGCTGACAGTCCGGACTTTAAACTCTCCTCTGCTTGTTGTAAGTTCATCCAAAATCTCAGCATCACAAATTTCTATCTCGCCTTCAGTTCTAGGAAGAGTTGTCTCCGTTTCCTAATCATATTATTTGGTGACAGTTCATTAGCTAAGTGAGCGTTGTGGACTTGACTAATGAAAATCTGAAAATTAAATGGAGTTGACAAATGACAATGTTAGGATTACCCTGAAAGAGATGCTAAGTGCGCGTTGTGGAGCACCAGCTATTTCCTCATACTCGGCTGCATCAAGCTCTTGTAAATGACGAGGGTGTAACAATTTGGGAAGCAAATGTTGTCTTATGCTTATGAGGAGAATAAATGGCAAGGGGAAGAGAATGCCAGCTATAGGAATCCAAGTAACTCCAAAGACAAAAAGTAGGTACACAAATTGGAATATTGTGAAGATTGCAATGTATCTGAATGGTACTGATTCCACAAAAGATGCATGAACCCCTTCAAGGACCCTGTCATCATTATCACTCTGGTTAGTTGAACAAGTCACATGTTTGCGTATCTTAATTTGAGATCAAATTTGTAAAAGCTGGTGGCTGAACTGTGTAAAGATATGGCACTTGGCCGAATTCAACCCAAGTGTCATATCTTTACATGGTATCAGAGCAAGGTTCATCCCTATTTGGGTTCCCAGTCCACGCTCCAATTGGGATTGAGCGTGAAAGGGCGTGTTAGAATGGGTTAGAGTCTCATATGTAAATGTTAGTCAAAAGGAACAAGACTTGATGATCTATTTACTTAATAACTTCAATGATCATATGCCAATAATGGAACTTACTTAAATCTCCTGCCAGGGGAGACAAATAGAAGCAGTGTTCTTTCCCACAGTTGATTTCCTGGAAGGCTGTCAATAGCCATGTAGGCGAAATATCCCCAAAGAACTGAAGTTGGTATCTTTTTTATCACTGGCATAGCACCTACTGATGCTGCTACCAGTAGTGACTGCAATAGATTGCTGACTCTTTGTTCATTTACTCGAACCGGCAAGTAAGCATCAATGTACTTCTCAGGATCAAATATACCATTAGACTTTTCGCCATTTGCATTTTCACTTTCACCTTTCATTATTGCCTCTTTCAAATGTTCCAACTCTTTAGCTACTGCACTCTGCATAGCCAGGAAAGATCAGTTTTATAAAGCTCAATATTACTCTAGATATTACCATAACGACATGTAAGATGTTCAGTCTCATTGGTGTAACTTGTAAGTATTGGACAAATTGACTCATGGTGCAATTTTTGGAAGTGTTAAAGAAACTAAGAAGATGGACTTACAATAGGAGAACTATCTATCTCTATAAATACAGCTTGCATATTGCCATAGATTTCAGAATTGCTAGCTTTTCGCCTGATACTCTCCTTCGCACTTTCAACCATCTTCTTCCGGATAAGCTAGTTAGCAATACATAACTGTTTAGATCTCAATGTAGCAGCACCAGAGGCAACATAGTAATAAGTATCATAACAATCATCGACAAGTAAATTATATTTACCTGTTTCTTAAGAATAGCCAAACTTTTAGTATGCATTGGGGACTGTGGCAGGACACCATTTGAAGGAGGCAATCCTAGTAAACCACAAAGCAAAGTCTGGACAGAAGTATCAACCCTTGTCATTGGTCTTGATTGTAGAAACATCGACATATATAAATTGAAAAAGTAGAAGAAATCAACAGATGATAGGATAGCATACCATAAATCCCAAGAGTAATATATCGTAATGATAAGCAGAAGGATTCTTTAAATTGAACTCTTTTTGTTGTGCCATTTGCGAAGCAACACTGTGATCGAAGAAATAGAGTCCGGCTATCATCACAGCTGGTATTATGGCAGCAAATATGTATACTGGAGGAACCTTCACCATGTCCTGCAGTTTACGTATACATTTAAAGCTCAAGATTTCTCATTGACTGATCGAAGAAAGAACCTTTCACAATTTTTCACACCTTAATTACAGTCCAGTGATATAAAGATGCAGACTCCCAAGGAAGGGGACTATAGAGAGTTCTAGGAACTCCAGATGGAACATTGCTTGGCACGATAAATGAGAGAGCTGACCACATGAGAACCATTAAAGGAACTCCATAGTCGGCGATGAAGCTTCTAATCCAGCCTGATTTAACGTAAAAAGGAAGTTGTGAGACATGTACTTTGATGAAGTGACAACATATTGACACCATCAAAATGCTTGGATTACAAACCTGTGCCGTACCACCATGACCTTGCTTTCCTGCTCTTTAAGGCTGTGTAGAGAAGACCAAAGGTGAATATGATTCCAAGTAGTCCGTTCGTGTAAAGCCAATGGAATTGATATTTCTCCGAACTTGGGTCCTCAGCTTTAGGAATGCTGAACTCACTTACCAATCCCTACAAAGTTACAATAAAAAAATCCATTCTGATCAAGACTTCCTTCAGATGTCACCAAGAGATGCAGAGGCAGGATCACAATTATTGTTTTGCTTACTAGGTTATTGAAAAGGATTATTTGTACATAGCGAATTAGTTTTGTAACACAAATACAGAGTTTGAACCAGAGTTACTGGGTTCTTCCGAACCCATAACTACTATCAAAAGAATTCTTGTTTCTGCAGCTAAAGTGTACCTTAATTGCCTCTTGAATGAAAAGTACCGCGATAAGCATTCCAAAAGTTTCCCCAGCAATCCTTGTAAATTTACTTATGATAGAACATGCATTGAATATTGCTAGAAGAAATAACATGAGAGCTGTCCAGACACAAACCCTGCAGCAAGATTTCATCATAGACATGAGAAATCATGAACGTCGTCTATCATCAAACAACCTTATATGAAAATCGAACATATTCTAACATACCATCCGGCCCAAGCCAAGTAAAGGGTCTGTCCTAAATCTTCTCTCCCTTTAGCAAACTTGTACAAGTAACTGTACATAATAATAGTAGGTTCTGCAACTCCTAGTATCATAAGTGGTTGCCCCCCGAGTATCGAGTGAATGATACCACAAATTGCTGTAGAAGCTAAAGTTTCCACAGTGCTGAGGCTCCCATCTAAAATGCAAATTCAAGTTATATAATAGGAAAACTTATGATCACAAATGCATTTGATTGCCTTTAGACATCGAAAGTTTAAAATGTAAAAGAACCTGTTTCTCTGCTCAATTGTTCTCCAAAAGCAATCACTGGAAGAGCAGATGCAAAAAATATGTAGGTAGTTGGAGCTAATATCCTGGCATATACACATAGAAGTAGAAGTTAGAATACAATCAAAGGAACATATAAATTTTTACTCATTTACAAAAATTGTTTAAGAACAACTAAGAAAAATAGCCTCAACGGGCAAGTAAACACTCCAACTTTGAGGATGCACATCTACACACCTCAATTTGTCTCCACTATGTGAGTTGAACACTCCAACTGACAAAATGATCATCCAGACACTTCCAAAATGTATGTGTCATGTCAGCATTGGGTGTCCACGAGACACAGTGGGGAACGAGTTGAGGTGTCTAGATGTCCATACTCAAAGTTAGAGTGTTTAACTGCCGGCTGAGACCAAACTAAGACCCTATCAATGTAATATGACAAGAAAAAACATATTACCCTATTCCGGATCTAATTCCAGCAATCCAATCCTGCTTGTAGCAAGATACTCGTCCTCGAATATCGTCTGAAATGCCTTTGAATGGAGTTCTGGGGAGACTCTTCATACCTGGTGTACCACAAAAAATATAACAGAAAAATAAGTATTCATGAATCAAAATACAAAAGATGTATAATTTTAGAACTGTTACTACATACTTCATACTATTAGTAGTATTCATTTATCATGGTATTTTTTTCACAGTATACAGGGCATGTATCGCTTACTAAACTCTAGTTCTCTACAAGAATCAAAGACGCAACATGCATTGATAATCTTGTTCTTCACAAGAGACTTGCTTTTGTTGTTTTGGGCCAGAATTTAAATTTGATGGATTCAATCCTTGTGCTGGACTCAAAAATCAAGTTAGACAGGTTTAACATTTATGTTCTTACCAATGTCGAAAATTTGTATAGAAAAGGAAAATATCAGAACAAGATTAATAATTTCTAGTTCAGGGTGTGTTTCAATGCATTCATCTTTTGTTCAGGGTGTGTTTACGGAGTTCTCGACCATATTTTCTGCTTATGTACCAAACACACAAAAGAATCACTTATTTTTCAAGAAAATATTTTTCTTCGCACCAAACACGAATAAATGATGAGTTGAAGCCATGTGAAAGAACCATTAGTTACCTGATATTTGTCTCACTTTCTCAAGAAAATAGCTTGAAATTATATAGGGTAAGTTCTTCAAGAGAGTTATATTTGTGAGTGCTAAAACAAACGTTCTTATATAGGTTAGGCAGGATTTGTTACTTGCACCTAATCAAAACTTGTACTCTTGTGCCTGAGCTTTCTAGGACAGAAAATCTATGTATCAATTGGCTAGCTGGCCACGTCTCTTAGAAGAAGACAATTATATTAGTTCAAAACAAAAATAAATAAATATAACTCATAGGTCAGACATGACGATCTGAGCTAATTATTTTAAGTTTTCTCACAGATTAAGAATATGTTAATTATTTCTTTAATCTAATGTAATTGTTTGATAAGATTTCACTGCCCAAGGACAAAAATTCTGCAAAATCATGGTCATTGCATAACAGCATATATAAGGCATGTAAATATATGGAACCTTGTGGCACATGAAGACTTAAGTAGTTTACAAGCTCTCTTTATAGGTTTTGTCCACCCATATGTATTAAGAAATTCAACAATATGTTAGGGTGTACGAACAAAGTCAAACGTTGATATATAGTTGAAAAGATTGGGAACCTATATATAACGTGTAGATATACTCGAAAAAAAATCTTACGAGCTTGAGTCAGATAATATCATATTTTAAGTATCTTTAAATTGACTTAGCCCAACAATTAGTATCAGAGCCAATGACTCGAATGGACGAATATGGTGACAGCGGAGTGATAGTGGGAGGCTTGATTTACTACTGTTACTATGCCAAAAGTTTCTTGGAGTTGGAGGCAAACGTACAAGAAAAAGCTAGTTATGGGCCTCAATAGTCATAAATGCTCTATCATATGGGTGACTCGCTCTCAATCTAAAAAATTAACTCATTAGTCATAGTAATAAGTCACGTGGAACTTAGTTGAGCTCATGAAAACATTACAAAATCATACTCATTACATAGTATTTTTAAGGTGTATATATGTATGATAATGTTCAAGTATTTCTAGTGACAAGACCACCAGGACATTTGGATATTCTTAATATCACGTTGAATTATTAATACTATACTATTTATTTATAAGTACGGAGTAATAAATTGAAGCTGTTTAAAGAAAACATTATTTGAACATATGATTTGCCGGTTATAAATTCTAGGGCCTTCTAAATAACGCATGTATACACCATTTTAATACACATATATATATTATCCCATATGATGACGAACAAGATCTTATTTATATCACCATGGATGTTTCATTCATTTGTTATTTATGAGTTGTACGTACATGAAATTTATTTGTAACTACTTGTGACTAGCACAACCCAACACATTATGCCAGATAATATATGTTCCTGTACAGCTTCTTAAAGACAAAAAAAATAATTATATTATTACACATTTTTTTATAAATTATTTTCTGGCTAGGAATGGAGTATTTCCCAGTTCCCACACCAACTTTTTTGCCTGCTCTACTTTTGAGTTTTGACTATCACATACCAATGTCTTGAAAAATATAGATTTAGATGAGTCTAGAAGAAACTCATAGTATAATGATGAATTATATAGTGGTATTTCTAATAAATCTATCATTGATTCCTTTTTTTTAAATGAAAAGAAGTTGTCAAGAAGAGAAGTAATAATAATGTACTTGAACATATGATCCAAAAACTATTTGTGGGTTCAACTTAAGCGAGATGTTATTATGATTTGATCTTTGTTTATTTCTTTTAATATAGCGTTACTTTTAGTTTGGACGCACTCTTTAAGATATTGTTTTTTTGTTTTTACTAACTTAAACCTAATTAAATGTCTTGAAGAAAGAAGTGATTCTTTATTGACGTAAGACTAAGTATATGTATTAAAACAAGGGTAATTTTGAAAGAATAAGATCAATTCTTTTTTTAAATTCTAAAACACCATTTATTTTGAAATAAAATTAAAAGGTTGAAATACCAAATTCTAGGTATATGTTCGTTTGTCATGACTCATGACCCAACTAGGGACTAATAGCGCGGGTCGCACACTAATATATGATGCATATATATATATAAAAAAATTTTTAAGTTAACGAATATCCGTGCAGCCTAATAGATTGGTCCGCCCTATTGGGCAGCACTCAATTGGATTTATTTCCATCTTCAATTTTCGCAAAGAGAAGGAAATATTAACGCGACACAAATGTTTATCTTCTAATATGTAAAACTTTTACAGGCAGGGACTGTGCTATCAGTGAATTAAATCAAATTCCAAATATATAAATGAAATAACAAGAGAATCAAAATGTGAGCAACTTGAATATTATCGATTGGGGACCATTTCCCTTTTTCAACTGTAAGTCAAAAAACAAATTAATTTTGAAGGGACCTGTTGATTTTTGTTCGAGACTATTAAGGTTTTTTATTATATTATTTTAAGAGACTCTAAGGTTTGATACTTGTTCTCTATTTTGCCAATCAAATAATTGGATGACTAATTGGTGTGGATGGGAATATTAGTTCTACATATTATTCTCCAGTAGTTATGGTTAGGAAGGCACAAGCATTTGCTTCCTCTTGTTCATGTTATTTATCATTATTGATGAAGACGAGAATTGAGTTATGACGAACGAAAACGGACTCGTCGGTCTAAAGCCAAATTTTATAAAGAGGTCTTATTGTATTTTTTTCAGTTGACGTATAACATATTCAATGTAATTTCACAAGTGGAGTTTGAGGAAGGTAAGATGTAGGCATATATTTAGAAGTAAGAATGTTAATAATGTAAATTTTCACTGAAAAACATAATATAAAATTAAATGATAAAATCTTACTTAAAAATTTGAGAAATTGATATAATGATATCAAAATAGTGTTGTTGGTGTATTTTGGTTTGTATAATAAAATTTTAAATTCAAGAAGAAAACATAACATTGAATAGAGGATTAGTTAGTGTTGTTTAAAATTCTAGTACATGTTCTAACCGAGGCAAATTTAAATATTGTTGTTACCTATTGTATTGTATCATATTGTTCCAAATATATTGTCAGTTTTGATTGTTACTTAAATTTTATTATATCATATTATTAAATTCATCGTTACGTAATAATAAAATTTTAATGACTTATTTGATATGGTCACATTGCTACTTTTTTTTTCTTCTCATTTTGACTTTGCTTGTTATTTAGTATTAATCATATTTTATTCTTTTTACCTACCTTTTAATAATAAGTCATATATATAAAAGTTTATTCCTTATATTGTTTATGTGTGGCGTTAGGTAATGACGTGAAACGATCGATACAATCATCTAATCTATCCAAATGTTATATTCATCAAATCAATATAGTATAATACATTATGAAACTATATGGGATAAAATTTACAAATAGCCACTTTTCAGTTCTTATAACTAAAATATACTTCCTCCATTCCTATTTATATGACGTCATTACTAAAAATGGATGTTCCTTAATACTTGTCATTTCACAAAACCAATGCATAAATGACACTATGCTTTCCATTTTACCCTTGAGAATTATTAGCCTTGAAAGTATAAATTTGACCAACATAGGAAAACTAAATAATTAATTCATGCTCATAGGTCAAATTAATTAATCAAAATAAATTAATTCATGCTCATTTATTTAAAACTTGACTTCAAAAGAACACTAAATAAGAGTATAATAGTAAATTTACCTAATTTCTTAAGAGACGTAAAACCTAAAATGATGACGCATAAATAAAAACGGGAAATGATTATTTCAAATTTTACGGCCAAAATCAACAAATTATGTATGAAATTTTACTTATGAAACTTTGAAACTCCAAAATACTAGCTATTTCATAAAGTTATGAACAAAAGTTGCCAACAAAGGATATTTGTATCAATATATGTATTTGCTTATGAAACTCCCCAAAAGGTTAAACTAAGGCCCAGGCCCATATATAGAATACTTGTTCATGAAAGCCCAAAGTACAAACTCCATAAAGTTTTGAGAAAATTACGTGAATTGGCAAATATTACTAAGTTATTATTCAACGAGAGTATAATTTCACTTAATTATTGTGGGTGATTATAGTTTAATATGATTTGCTTTTAAATAGGGGACCTATCGCCGGTTTGTATACCTAATTAGGAATAAAAACCCTTAACTTATTTGTACACTAATTTATACAAATCTAATGTTATCTCCTCTCTCTAATTCTCTATAATCACTCATATACTTTAAATTTGAATTCCAAAATGTACTTTCTCCCTTGTAACGTATATGCTCCGGCGATGATTCTCTGATTATCGTCGTCGGATTCGATTCAATCGCATTTGATCTAACGGTTCATATATATGTGCTGCAATTTCTTCTGTATTCTTACTTATTGCCTGCTCTCTTATCCTCTCAGTAAGATTCCTTCATCATGTACTAAATTTAAGGCATTTTCTAGCTTATAATTAAAAAAAATT